TTGATTTGAAATTTAAATATGAAAATTTAATAGTTTCTATTAAAATCATATATAAGAATTTTTAAAATACAAGAAAAACAATCAATTAGTGATTTATTTAATCTTTACTTTTATTTAATATTTTTTCTATTTCCTTTTCAGTTACATCATCATTTAAGTAAAATCTTACATAATTTTTATTAAAAGCCTCAATTAATATTTTTTCTTTACTAATTAAATCATGTTGAACCTTATAAGCATCAGAAACTTTTAAAACCACAATAGGTGAATTTACACTTGAAATAATATTTTTATAATTTTTATAAAACTTTCTAATCTTACTATTATCAAATTCAGAATCTTTATATAATCTACTTAAGAATTGTTTGTTTGCTTCTATGAGAAATACTGGCAATGATGCTGAAAATACATAGGCTTTAGCATTTATTCGCATATATCCAATATTGTCATTTGTAGTCACAGCATACCCACCATTAAAAGGCAGTGATCCCATTATAATATCTATCTTATCATTATATAATCTTTTTAATGAAAAATAATTTACATCTAAAATCATTCTAAATCCCAACTCTTCTTTTTTATCACACAACTCGTTAATTTTATTAAAATATTGACCTGTCATTAGTGAGAGATCTTCTATGATAATTATTTTAAAATTACTTTCTATCTTAAGCTGATTGATTAAATCACTATAATTTTTAAAATAAACTACAACTGCCTTACTTTTTAAAACGGCTCTCTTTATAATTTCATTAGCAGTGTCTCTTATAAAAACGGTATGTTTTGGCTTTACAAAACAACAAATTGTACTTATCTTACCTGCTGATGAATTAGAATAAACTAAAGCAGCTTCCTTATTATGAAAAACACTGATTATTTCCTCTAATTCAATATGATCAATTGATGTTCCATAAAATCCTCGTGGTCCACAAGTTCCAATACCGTTATCAATAATTTTATCTGCCAATCTCTTTATATCTAGTTTACTATTATAGTTAAATATATCAGTTGATACAAATTTATAACTAACCTCATTATTTTCTAAATACTTGATTGTCTTATCAAATACATCATTATGTTTATAGCTTGTTAGTGAATCTATTTTATTATTTCTAATTAAATCCTCTTCTTCTTGTTTAGTTAAAATTAATTCTGACTTGGGTGATCTATATTGATATCTAACTAATATATATGTAAGAAATATTAATGCAACCTGTGATATTATTACCAACAGGTTTTCTTTTATAAATTTAATACTCATCCAATTAAAAATCATAATTTTATGTAAATTTTTTCTATTTAATTTTTTAATGCTTATAAAAAAATACTCAGTAGATAAGCAACATTTTTATAGAATAACAACTTATTCTTCTTTTATACAAATTGATTATCCATGTATTTTATCAGGAGATAACTTTAGAACACCTGCAATACATGATCCACCATCCAAATTGAAATTTCTTATTTATGAGGATTATTCACTAATAGATGAACTTTATCTTTCTAAACCCACCCTTGGTGTATTATTTTTAAATAAAAAAATAAAGATTTATTGAACACGAGCTGTTTATAAACAAATTTTATTAAAGTACA